TAAAATTACACCTATTCTGGAAAACTCGAAGTTGGTGTTGTCGTGGATACGCTAATTAGTCAGAGGCATTATTATATATTCTCCGCCGAACTTTCGGAATGATTGCTGTTTGGCAACGCGGCAAGAATATGTGATTGTTCAGAATAATGAGTTTTAGTAGTACTTGCTCTATTCGTCTCGCTAGTCAGTATTGCTACTTTGATAATCCCACATCGTGGCTGGGGGCAAAGCGATGCGATAAGCCAAACTGTTGAACTAAGTGGAAGCGCTTTCTATGCCCCTCTAGGAGGACCAATACTAGGTAAGTTTTCCACTCTAATTTATATAGTGTATAGTCTCAATGAGAGTAGCTGGTTCAATACGAACAACGTCATTTGATTGAAATATGGCCTTCCTATAGCTCTTCCAAATCTGCTTAATAGGCATGTCTGTTTGACAACCACTCCACAAGCTTGGCTATCGGCCCGCAGTTTAGCCTCTGTTCGCAAGACCCACTGCCTACATGCTGGAAGAGCCCTGAAAGTTTCGAAAACATAGTGTCGCATTCTGGACACCTAAACGGATAAGCCGCGCTATCGTACTCTTCCTCCAAATCATAATAGCTAAGGATATCGTCATAGTATCCCTCGTGTAGGAACTTCTGCCATTGATAAAAAATTGCAGCTGACTTGTCTAAGTACAGAATATCAATACCAGACGTATACCTCCTAGACTCTAGATGGATTATCATCGTAGAATAAGTGGTGAAGGACGGAGTGAATCCATAGCATTCGACGGAAGGCTTCAGATGCACCGGCTTGTGCTATTAGCTGTTAGAGCGAGGACTGAATCAGGGTACGAGTAGTGCGTTCAAACACGGTAATACCTACATGTCGCAGGTTGTTGAGGCTATCGAAATGACGCTCGCATTTCGTACACACACTATCATTCCTCAAATAGTCCTTGTACTCTTGGGTTAATATAGGAAATATGTCAAACGACATGATCACTAAATATAGGCTAGCATCGAAAGGGAGCTAAAGGTTTCTATTATCTCGGCGTTGAGTCCCGATAGTTCGGCGACTGATGCCCATTCTTCGTTGCTTCGCCCCGTCGACTATATGTGTTACACTCTCATTTATTTGCAGATAGTGTACGTCACGATGCATAGGACTATTGAACCCGGTGGAGATTTGGAATGCCATTGCTTACGGTCTGCGACATCTCAAGCAGGCTAGCCAAGACTACTATTATTATTCCATTATAGTCCTGTATCAGCCGTTGGCTATGTA